TTTTTTTTTTCTGAAAAGTGAAAACTATAGAATTTATAAGTTAATAAAATCAGTTTTTTAATTAAAAAATTAAAAAAGGGTTCGGTTCGATTTTGAAAATTGAAACCTAAACCAAACCATTTTGAAACTGTTTGGTTCGGTTCGATTTGTGATTTCACAATTTTTTTTGTCCAGTCCTAATTATAGCTATGCCTATATATGGGAAAACATGATCACTTCATTCTTATTACTATTATAACTAAAAGGAATGTCATTTATTCCACCTTTATTCTAAACTATCACTCGAAGCATTATCAGCGAAGAGAAGAAACCAACTGACTCACTGTTGAATTGACTTGTAAGATCAGGCATGACGAAATAAAACGTATAGGATATGGGACTGAACCTAATTGCAAATACATTATAATAAGAATATCTTAATATTTTAAAAAGTGTAATGATCTCAACTACATGTAAAGTTGTTGTGAAACATTCCCATTGTGTCCGCCGCCTCTGTTATTAAAGTTTGTCGGTAATATGACAGTAGTTAAGTTGTGATTACTGCGGAGGGTTCAACTCTGTTAGGACATATATTCATTAGGCTTAAATAGTATCTAACTATACATCAGACTTTAGAGTTATGGCTGTGCACTAAGACTTAATTATCTTTAAATTTTGTTAACTAAATTGAGGACAGGACAGGTATCTAACATCTTTGTATTGCAATTTCATTATACAAGGCATGTTATTCTGACAGTAAGTTGTGAATGTATGCAATCTCAGAAAAGAAGGCTGACGAGGCTCCCAAGAAAAACATCTGTTCGTGTTCAATATGTGAGATTATAAATCTGATTCATGTTTTATCTTGTGGCGGTTTTTAGGGTTGCCTGCACCATTGGATTGACAAGTCAGAAAAGACAATAATCTATAAACCGTATGAGACACATTGTTTAATGTAATGATCTTTTGTTCTAATGTATGTGTGTTCTATAAATTTGTTGCTTTGTATAGCTTTGGAGTTTTTGTATAATTAAGAATACTATTAGCCTCAAAAGAGGATTGTCTTCTAACATGGCTCCCCACTCATTCTAAATTTTTTGAGACTACTCAAAAGAATGATACAGTAACTTGCATACTGGAGTGCGGTTGCCGTTTACAGAGCCCTCCATTTTCCTACCTTTCCTCTTGCCGGTTATACATTTCCACGAGATGGATAGAGCTTATCACTTATCTGCTGTTGCCTTTGATGACAGTATGTTACCAATTTATACATGTGTTGCATGACTGGGTAGGTTTTCTGAAATTATATATAGGATCCTGATGTTATAAATGATATAATCAAGATTCTTGACAGTATATTTCTTTTAGTTATAGACTTAACTGCTTTGTTACTTTCAAATCATAAAATTCTAAAATCTAAGATCATTCTGAAAAAGGGTTAATTTCACACACGGTCACTAAACTTATCTAAAAATTACAAAACGGTTACTAAAGTTTCGTGCGCTTTCATAAACGGTCACTGAACTTACTATTATGATTGTTATGATGTTAATTCAAACTTAAATGATCAAAACACATGGACATAGAAGTTTGAGGACCTCAAGTGCAAATTTGGCCGAAATTATGTTCAAATTGGCAGAAATTCGACCCCAAAATTTGACAAACGTGAGCTGTAATTTCTGCAATTAATTGATTACCCAATGTTTTTTGAGCCTGAATTGATGGATGAAATTCAGATTCACGAGGGCAGACCGTTCTTGAAGCCAATTGAATCCTTACCAAGGTCGTTTTATCATGAATTTCATTATGGTTGGTCCAATTTATTGATTGGAGCTGTGGAGAAGAAATG